TGGGACAGTTGATAGGCATCTCTGAGGGTTGATGGGACCACAACAGCAGACCTTTGCTGGGCTGGGAATTAGCTCCTTTGCTCCAGCGTTGCTCCTCCACGCCTGGCTGACAGTTGCCCTTTCTCCTCTGGAATAATTATGATGGCTGAAAATAAATGTGTGGGACAACTCGTGCCAGTTTCCACAGTTTAACAGCACATGGACATTTGTGTGAAAGTGTGAGCCAGGATGTTTCTAATTCTCCTAATTCTCTTGACAAAAATGGTTTTATAAATAATCAGGCCTTAATTGTGTGATTTCAGTTAATGCAGAGGGAGTTAATTAACATCTGGAACAAGTTTCCTGGCCCGAGTTATTAGCTGTGTCTGGTGCAGAATTCAAACAATGTATGAAGTGAGGCCTATTGCCAACTGATTTTGAGCAGACCTGAAATGAGAAATGCCCAAAGACGGACGAGGTGCAGCAGCTGTGCCAGGATCATGTCTGGTTTTGGTGACCAAGTGTAGACTGCTTAAGGCATGATTGTTGTGCCAGTCCAAGAGGTGCACTATGTGGCAAAGAATAGGCATCATGTCTCGATTTATCCTCACGTCAAACCCTCCAGCTCTTCTACTGAACTCCAAAAGCCTCATGGATCAGGATCCTGGAGGCTTTCACAGCTGGGGGAGGAAAAATCCCACTAATATAAAAGACAGACTCCATATTAGGAAGAAATTCTTCCCTGGGAGGGTGGTGAGACACTGGCAGAGGTTGCCCAGAGAAACTGTGGCTGCCCCATCCCTGGAAGTGTCCAAGGCCAGGTTGGACAGGGCTTTGAGCCTTCTTTTCCTATTTACTACCAAAACCACACTCAGAATCTCCAGTAATGGATTTTCACATATGTCTTGTGAATCTCCATATCTAGCTAGGGCAGGGATAATATGTCTGAGCCAGTTTATATAGTTGCTCGCTTATTTACCACCTGTAATGTGATGAATTGTTATTGAAGGTTTCTCATCCAGGTTCCTGTTTCAGCAGAAACCCGTGCTGTGTTTTATGCATGAGTTTTACACTGCTGCAGCTACAAGGCATGCAGATGAGGAATGCCTCTCCAAATAACCCCCTAGCTAGGAAATATAAACAATTCTCACTGAACTCCAGCAGAAAACCACAAATTGTGGTGCAAATTTTATTTCCATGAAGTTCTACGTATGAACACAAAAGAGATGCAGAAGGGAAAGCAATTCAGTTGATGAATGTGGGTGAAGCAGAGAGAAATTTAGGGTGAAATGCAGGTGCACAGTGTGGCAAGCCTCATCACCCTCCCAGAAATAGGGTCACCAAATTGAATGACATAAGGTCCCTTAAAGTCATATTCAGTGCCATTGCAGCCAATTGTCCAAAGAAGTCTGGGGAACTCTCCTTCTTATCTTATATCAAAGTAAGTAGGAGAATAAATACCACCACCTGCATTTCTCCATCCTTTTCTTTGTTTGTCAGAGCTACAGATCTTGTACTAAAAAGAAAGCAGTTTACTGGTGATGTAGACTGCTTTTGAGGGATTCAAAGCCTGCTGAAGGCTGCTTGTTTCCACTGATAAACCAGAAAAGAGTAGATTTCGATTGAATATAAGAAAGAAATTCTTTACTGGGAGGGTGGTAAGATACTATACAGGTTGCCCAGAGAAACTGTGGATGCCCCATCCCTGGAAGCGTTCAAAGCCAGGCTGGATGGGGCTTTGAGCAACTTGTCAAGTGCCCATGGCAGGGGGGTTGGAACTAAATGATCTTTAAAAAAATCCCCTCCAACCTCCAAAATTCTATGATTTTATGATAAACTTAAAAGGTTTGGGATAAAGTACTAAATTGCAACTAGCTCTGGCTTCCAAGTCTGAGAGAGAGCAGGAAGATTAATGCTGCTGGGAGATGCCAGTCTACACCCATAAGAAGACTGGAATGTCAGCATTCAGTCCTAAACACTGAGGTGCCTACTGTTATTCTGTTATCCCATAATGAGCAGTAATTCAGCCCTGTTTGGATTTACGACTGGTCTGAATTTCATGTACAACTTTCATAATCTTTGTCATAATTACACAAATTACAAATAACTTTTTAATATCAATGTTTTAAAAATTAGTCAAATCTTTCCCGGCACTTTTATTGCCTATTTACTATCTCAAATCAAATGGTTTACAACTTTGTGTTCTGAAAATATACAACATAAGAAAACACTAGCCTGGCAAAATTATGCTTTTATGATAATGACAGGGATGAGTTATAGTTACTCCAGTTAAACTGTAATGGCTGCACAGATGCTGGGGAAAAACTATTGTACAACATGTTCTGCCACCATAAGCATGGCACCTGCTCACTCCACCATGGTACATACAAGAGCATGTTAGCATTCCTTTGTGAAAATTGTTTTCAAGGATTATAATTGGACCATAAACATTCACTTGGGGATAAAATATCAGCATGCAGGCCTTAAAAATTACCTTGAGAAATGTTCTGCCAGTTTTGCATATCTGGATTTCAGAAGCAAGTTTATGAGAGATCATATATAACTTGTTTCTGATCTTGTAGGACTCAGAAATGGTCTGCTTTCTTCTTAGGGTCTATATGAATTTGCTGCAGGTGAATGTAGTGATATTTACAGAGCCAGAAACTAAAACCTCCAGCTCATTGCTGGCTCTCAGGAAGTAATAATATATATCCACAGGTGATGTGTTGCACAAAAGGCAATGGCAGGAGTTTCCTATATGTCTTGCCAAGCTGCCCCTGTACCACCCACTCATGGTCCCACTCACCCCTGAAGTGCTCCTCAAGGACACTGATACTGGTTGTTATGACCTTCCTCCTTTTGCTCAATTTAGTCTCACAAACTGAAGATGGAAATTTAATCTAAGTGTATTTTCCACTGAAATGGGTGAGCAATACAGTGTCCATGAGCTATTGCAGAGAGTAGGTCCCACCAACAGCTGTAATGCACATTGTAGATGTGTTAGACATGGGCAAGTGCATTACACTCACTACTGCAAGAAAACACAGGAATAGAGGTAAATAACGTAACTAAATATATGACACTGCAGTTGTTTGCTTTAATTCCCATTACAGAAAACTTACCTATTAAATACTGTCAGTAAATATGTGGGGATTTTGGCCAAAGTGTATTGTCTGACTTCCTTAGCAAGGCAATTGTCATAAATACAATATGAAGAACTGTAAAAAGAGTGCTAAGAGATTGGGTAAAATCAGAGTCAACAACCCAGTTCTACTTTTGGAAATCGTTATAAATCAGAAGCAAGGGTTTTTTAGCCTTTACTTTGAGTTACTGGAATTTCAGTGAGGTAAAACACCTCCAAAGAGAAAATGGCTGCTAAAAATCGAAGTGGACATATACTTTTGTCTCAAGGATCATGGTTTTTAGTGAGGGAAAATCTTCCTAAGGCTGTGACCCAGCTTCTTCTTTACTTTAAACCTTCTAGTCCAGCTGGACAAAGCATGAATTAAGATCAGACATTATATATTTCATTCCCCACCACTGAATCTGCTCTATCTTACTCAATATTAAAGCCCTGCTAATGCCTTGGGCAGCAATAGCTGACCCTTTGAATTAACACCTTCTCTGCAGTGGATGCTTCATGCATATGCCTATTGATGTATTTTAGAGTGGAGGTAATTTTCGTTTTGAGTATCTGCTCTGGCTTCATGTTCCCAAGAAAACACCTCTTGTATATGTTTTTTTTCCTGCCATGTATTTCCCTCTATGCCCTCCTATAATGTCCTGTTATATTCCACAGGAAAAGCCTTCTTATGTCCACCTTTGTCAGAACTCCAGGAGCAACATAAGCATAATTTTAGAGCAGTCTTTGTCACTCAGATGAACTGTCCCCTAATTGTATCCTTTAACTCCAAAAGGGATTTGGGGACATACTTTGTATGAAAGATGCTGTAGAAAACAAAAGTTGCATTGCTACTGTGGTTCCGCTTTTATATTTCCATCCAGGGAAACTCTCTGCACACCAATTTGCTTTTTCTTTTCCAATACCCATTTCCTCCTGGGGCTAGTTCCTGGGACAGAACTGTCTTCAAATAATTTAATTATCATGTGGCACACACCTTTTAAGTCCCCCCTGAAATGGTGCGTGATGCCTTTGGTTTACATCACTTGTTGGAAAACACTCCAAAGCATTGAAAAACTATTAAATTGTTACAGTATTGGATGCCAACACACAGGGCTATTAGTCTAATTCATCCTTCAGATCAAAGCCCACACAGGCAGCTCTCCTGCCTACAGCTATTTTCCTTTTACTTTCCTGCTTGACAGTAGTCCCTCATATCCCTCTGTTCTACTTTCTTTGAACATACAGATTTTTCTTTAGTCATGGAAATATAATTTATGTCTATTATACTGTATTATAGATTGCAGATCAGGACAAGCATGCATTACTGCCTGGAACGTCTGTTTATTGTACGTCGGGTTTTCTAAAAAAAAAATAAATAAAAAAGCCACGCTGCTTTGGTGGGGAGAGAAAAATACGGAGGGGGAGGACTCGGGCGCTGAGGGGGAGCTGCACTCTGTTCTCAAAGTTTAATTTCCAAGTAGAGACCTTGAAGCATGATTTATTAACATCATGCTGTTTGCTTTTGTCACGTTGTGGATGTGGCGGGGGAGGGGGGGGTGGGAGCGCTGGCCCCTCTCCAGCCTGGACCACCCAGCGAGCTGAGCGGAGCTACCGGCGCTGCACTCCCCGGTTCAAAGGTTCACCCCCAATTCACCGGCTCCATCAGTCGCCAGCCGTCCGGCTGTGCCACCCGGCTGTGCCACCCCCTTGGAGGCGACAGCAAGAACAATAATAACAACCCCCCCCCAAAAAAAAAATATCCTAACAGACGTGTTGTCTGGGACGGGAGAATTGCAAAAACAATCTCCACCCCATCACTGAGTGAGTGTGTGTGTGCACAGAGGAGAGGGAGTGTGAGGAGGGGGGAGAGAGGGAACGAGACAGACAGAGGGGAGGGAAGAAGGGAGGAGGGAGTCCAAGCTCTGAGAAACATCACTCCATCTCTCTCACTCCACAGGAGCTGAGCAAGGAGCAGGACCATGTTTGACAACACGCAGTACCCCTATAACTGCTTTAATTATGATGGGGACGATTATCCTACCTGTAGTTCTGACGAAGAGAAAAAATTCACCAGACCGGCGTACAGGTAAGATGAAGTTTTTCCAAGTCCTCCTATCTCCGGGGAGGTTTCTGAGCTCTGGGATGGTGGGATCACAGCTCTCAGGGGATCGTGGGACCTCTCCTCAGGTGTGTGCAGTGGGTCTGGTCCTGGTGCAGGCACCACAGCGGGCAGATTTCCCCCCTCTCCACATTCGAGGTGTTCATGATTTGTTTCCTCCCATGAGGGCTCACAGCAACTCTGACGTGCCCTTGAGCCTCCAGGTCTCGGACTATCTCCAACCTCCAGGACCCCTGGGAGAAGGGGAATTAATGTGCTATGTGCCAAAGGGTGAATCAGTTGCAGTCATCCCAATTTGATGGGAAGAGGCTCAGTATAGATGTTCACAGGGACATCCAAGGTCCTTTCTACGAGCAGGAAAGGTCTCCAGTGACAGTGTCTCCGAGCCTGGTCTGTCTCCCTGCAGCCTTCCTGCTCAGGGAAACTTTTCAGATAGAGCCTGAGAGGTGTGTGATCTTTCTGCAATCCTTCTGTATCCGAGCCCCTTGCACTGAGTGCCAGGGCAGACAGGCTGGTTGGGATTCAAGTGCCTGGCAGTAACACCTCTGTGTCACCTGGGGTCTCATGGAGGACAGGCAGTGACCATGCTCAGGGCTTCTCCCTGGGACACCTCAGGTCAGGGTGCAGTTCCACTGGGAGAACTTTTGGAAGGAAGATATAGGCACACATGTATCCATGTGGTCCTAAAAACTGAGTCTGTGAGCAGGGCAATGGTGTAACAGCAAGTTTTCCTTTTTTCAGCTACATTGCCTTAATTGCAATGGCCATCCAGCAAAGTCCTTCAAATAAAGTCACCCTCTCTGGCATTTATGACTTTATAATGAAGAAATTTCCTTACTACAGATCAAATCAAAGAGCCTGGCAGAACTCCATCCGACATAACTTATCCCTTAACAGTTGTTTTGTAAAGGTAAGATCAGTAACTGTGTATTTACATACACTCTGTGCATGGCTAAAAAAATACATGCAGCAATAATCTCATACCTAAGAAAGGAGGGAAACAAACAGCTGAGCTGCAAATCACTTAAAATCTCTCTGAGTTGTCAGTTCCTGAGATAAGGAGTATATCCTTGTGTGATGTGTGCAAATAGATAACAAATTGAAGAGGATGGAGTTTACATCTTACTCGTATAATAACAGAGAATAGGCTTAAAGTCTTGTCATATGTGTTTACACCGTTCTTGAATGTAAATGAATGCAGATGCTAAGCAGCAGCATCTGTAACACATACAAATACTGAACTGCCTTTAAATAAATACAGGTTCCCAGAACAGAAGGGAATGAGAAGGGGAAAGGAAACTATTGGAGCTTTGCAACAGGATGCGAATCCATGCTGGATCTCTTTGAAAATGGGAATTACAGGCGAAGACGGAGGAGGAGGAACATGAAAAGGGAACACAAGGAGCAGAGACCAAACAGAGTGAAAAGTCCTTCATCCCCCAGTATCTCTTCTATGGACTCTGCTTTGAACAACATTTCCTCTTCTGAAAGTAAACATGAAAGAATTGAATCGGGCCCAAAACTTCTGGAGCCTTGTGGGTTTGCTCCAAACAGCACGACCAACAGGCAGAGCCTAAACAATTCCTCCTTAGCAAAATCGGATTCTGAAATTAAGTTTAGCATCGATTACATCCTTTCAGCCCCTGACCCTTTGCCTGTCCTGAGATCTCAATATAACGTGCAAGAAAATAAATATCATCTACTGGAGGCTCAGCATATTAATCTCCAGTTCTGGACAATGTGATGTTATTTATTTGTGGTAACAAAGTCTGAGTTGCAGTTTGTTCAGCAGCCTCGTGTCACTGAAAATGAGCCGCCTGCCTCCTCGGTTTCCTCCCAAGCAGTACTCACAAAGGGTTACTGACTCACCAGCTGATGCTCTGTCTATACCCAAAGAACTTTGCTAAGATTAAAGCATAAATAACAGTTACCAATATCGGTTTTCACTACATTGAAATTTATGAAATTCCAGCTTTATTTTCTAAACTGTCTTGGACATCATTTAACACGACAAAGAATTTCCTTTCTTGAGCAGAATCCGACAGAGAACAGACTTGCTTATCACCCGTTGCTTTATTAAAGACAAAGTGAATTTGATCCCACTCTCAGTGGTGGAAATTAGGATTAACTCCACTGAAGTATATAGGTCAGAACTTAAGCTGATCTAAAATCGTGTAATTCTGTCGACTTACACTGACTGGGAATGGGGAGGGGCAGTAATTTGTTTTCTTAAAAGGAATCACTGAAAATCACTCTGTCTTCCCTTATTTTTTTTTTTGACATCATGTTTCAAACTGTTTTGCAGCTTTAATTCAAAATTCATTAGAAAATGTAGTTATTAATAAGTGTTTAAAATATACTTTTGTTTCTGTTCAGGGCAGAATTGTTTAAATTGTTGGAGTTGTATTCAAAATTCCAAGAGAGCTAATTGCAAGTCTGCTGAACTCTGGTAGACTTTGACAGGTAACGTGACAGAGGCATAGAGCCTCTTAATGCCTTGGTTAAAAAAAAAAAGCCCCACTATCCCCTTGTACTACCAGAAATCTTCTTGAGCTGCTGCAGAAAAGTCCTTGACCATATTTCATTTAGCAAGTGTGAAGGGAGACCCAGCTTTGCATGAAGCTGTATCCAGTGTTGAGCAAAGCTAAAATTCCACCTACCTGCTTTGAGACAAGTTGAATATTCCTATTAAATAGATTTTTATTGATCCTTCTTGCAAGCAATTACCAAAGTGGTGCTTGATATGATTTCAGCAAAGCTGGTGAGATTTATAATTTCCAGATATCAATGTTAGCTCATGAGCTCCATTTCTAAGAAAGCTGTTTCATTACCCTTTACATGCAGTGGGAGATATTGGAACAGAACCTGATGGACAATGATGAACTGTAATGAGCATTTAGGAACTTGCTTTTATACAACTTGTTCCCAATGAACTGTTTCCCAGAACCTAATGATAGCTTTAGTAAAGGCTCCACAAAATCTTGGCTTTAACTTGGCTACTATAGTCTTTACCTACTGCAGATAAAAGAAAAAAAAGGACAAGGATTCTGATGGTTTTAAGCAATTAAATACAGAGAGAAAAAATTATCTTTACAACATGAACTAAAGATAAATGAAGGTATATAAGATTCAGCAAAATTGTGCTAGAGCTATGCTCAGGCATGACTTGAATTTTTATGCAGAAGCTTTGACATTTCACTAAGTTATTTTACATTGTGTCTAATATATACTGTACATTTATACCATATATTCTTATATATTGTTATTGAGAAACGGAGCAATATCACTGCACTTATATGTTGTAAAAATGCATGATGTATGTTGTCATGATGCTGAAACTCCTGCCATATACTTAAAATTTACCATCAGTGGTATTTCACACTGATTGGTAATAAAAGCTCATTTTTTTGAAAACTGTAAAACTTGTTATCTTCAGGCATTTGCACAGCATGCAAAAAGTCTTTGCTTCTTCTTCAGAAAAGAGAAAATGGAAAATCATATCAGTTACATCACTGCATGTCTTCCAAACTTTGAAGGGATGATTTCTTGAGACTAAATTCCGCCTTCAAATGGGAGCTTTCAATTCTCTGTGAATCAATGGTTATTCTGGGCGATTTTCTGAAAGCAAAATTCGTCTCATTAGACCTGATTGATCTGCTGTTTACACTGATGTTAGAAAAAGTAGAAAACCTCCAGGGTGATGGGACAGATGGATTCTCATTTGAAGAGGGACAAGAATTTGCTCCTTTAGTATTTATGCTCAGTAGAAAATAGGTGTGGGAAGAGCATGTTCTCATTTAGTGCTCCAATGTGTGCATGTCCTCATGTGTGGGTTGGTACCTGTGCCCCTCTAGGATCCTGCCTGCAGCTGTGTATTCGTGCTTTATACCCAGATGATTTTCCTGATTGTTTTAAACATGGCAATGCTGCTGTTGGGCTGATAGTTCTAGTACACATCCTGCACTGTACTTGAAATACATATTTTCTGCTGTGAAATGTGCAGTTATGGCTGTTACTATGTGTTCTTGGTTAATGCTGTTAGCAAAAGGCACCCCAATGACAGCAAAAGTTCCTCCTAAGCATCACCATAGCCAGTGCTCACAGTGGGCTGCTGAGACCAGTGGAGATACAGTTATGGATACTAAGCAATGTAGGATTAATATATTAGGAAAGGCAGAAATACACCCAAGTGGATTTACAGCAGAGATCTGAAACCATTTGCAGTAAGATGAATTAATATTCACAAATAGCCATGTCCTTTGCTCACAGTAAAGTGCCTGCTAGGAGAGACTGTCATACTTGAGTTTCCCTAACATATAATCAAACAAATTTGTGTACAAATAGGTGTTAACATTTGTTTTGCAAAGGATATCAATCATATTTCAAAAAATGAAGGGACATATTTCAATTTACCCAGTATATTATATTCTGACAACTCCAGAAAGGTTTCCAGCTCCTAAAGTGAATGGCATTTAATATAGAACAACATAACAGGGGTGAGGGCTAGATGTGACCTTATTCAAATGTCGTAGCCATTACAAAGCCATTCCCAATGTAATTATAATTAAATACTTTATGCCTTTCTTGCAAATCCTCTGATCGATCATTGATATTAACATTAATATTGTATTACCCCCGAGCAAATGTCTCCCACACAAGTGTTATGGATCACCAGGTTTCCATTAACAAAGTTGTGAGCTATTGCCGTGTGCTGGTCGTGGATAAATTTACGTAAATTACTTTTTCTCAGGGAAGAGGGGAAAAAGTCTGGGTTTCTTTCTTTTATCCCTGCACTTTGAGTCCAGAGCTATTTCTTCAGCTCCATCACAGCCTGTCAGCCACTTACATAAAGCCATAATGAAAGAAAAAAAAAAATCTTACAGGAACATCCCTCTTTGCCCTGTGTTAGAGCAGGTGAATGTTCTCCCGATGTAGCTGGTTTGGCACTGGGATTAAAAGCTGAGCTGAAGCCACGGCTGAGCAGAGCACGGCTCTGCACCCACCAAGAACATCAGCAGGCTGGGCAGGTTGGGCAGGCTGGGCACAGCAGCCAGAGCAAGGAAAGGTTTTGGTGTTTGGCTCAATTCCTCATCTCAAGGGGTCTTCCTGACTGCGGAGACAGACCCAGAATGAGCCATGGATTTTCTGAACCCAAAAGAGCTGCTTCACTTGGGGGCTGACACCGACTGTCCCAGGCCTGGGATGAGGCAGGAGGAGGAGAGGGAGAGCAGCTTGTCCCTGCTGGGCTGGGGGCATGGTGGGGCCTTTTGACCTCTCCCTTTAGGATCATAAATACCTTTGCAAAGGAAAGATGAAAGGTTTCTTTCTGGGGAGAGGCAAGGCTTGGCCTCACTGAGGGACCCTGGAGGGGGGTTGTTTATTTATCCTTTTAAAGGAAGGCTTCCCGTGATAAAATAAATATTTTGATGGAGCCACACCAGGCTATTATGCAGCAATTTCACCCCTAATGATTTAATTTCTTAGGCTTTTGCCATTGGTGTCAGAGAAGTGGTTTTTGAACAGCAAAATGATGATCAGCCTCAGAATGAAATTCAAAGTACTTGGACAAGGATGCAGCACTTTTTCTTTCACACAAACAGTGAAGAGAGGCCAGATAACCCCTAAGGTAGGCCAGTTGTTGACCTCACTTACAGGGACCTGTCCCTCAGCAGAACCTCTTGTGCATTATGGGAGCATTAATGCAGATTAGGATAGCTGAAAACAAACCTTTTCTTTGTCAGTAAAGCTAAGTTCCCCTATTTTTCTGCCAGTCAGATAGATCTTATTAGTTGAGACCCATTAACTCCTCGTATAAAGAGAAGCTGTGCTCAAGGAGCATTTGAAGGTCAAGCCACATTGGAGAGGTGGTTCTCCCCATGCCTTTGCTTTGTTGTGCTCCATTTCATTGCCTGAGCTGCCACAACCTTCCTCAGCCATGCAGCAGGTTGGTCCTCAGCTCCCTTGCTCCCTCAAAATCGAATCAAGATTTTTACCCTGTCTTCTGGTCACAGAAAGTACCACTTACCTGTTCAGGTCCAAATCCTATGTGTCCTTTCCACTCTCTACCAACAGAGAGGACACACTGAGAGGAGGGAAAGGGGTTTGGAGGGACAAGCCTTGGGGAAAACAAGCTCTGCTACATATCTTCCAGTCATACAGAGCTGGTTGGGACCCTGCTAATGGTACAGCACAAGGGCCCTTGGGGTTGTGTGTCAAGTCTCTGTACTGTAAATCCAGGGCAGCAATTGCCTGTGTCCCACCACACTCAAGCTCAGGGAAAACAAGGAACCTTGTCCACATGCCCCTGAGCAGACAGGGCTTTAACCTTCAGCTCTGGCAGTGTAACACAAATCCCTGTCTGTGACTAGATCCCGAAGAAATCCTGCACAGTTCATTCCAGCTGGCCTCTCCCCTCTTTGTCTCCTCTGGGGTATGTTCTCCTCCCCGCTGTGTGGGTGTAAATCCTTGCAAATCCATTAACTTTGGTATAATTACCTTTGGAATTGACATAGCACGTGTGAAACGGACCTTTGCATATTATACCCAACATCTCTACTCACACACTCTGCCAACCTGTGCCAGCACCTCATCTCCCAGATGGAATTCTCAGAGCAACAAATGGTCCTGCCTCTTTATTTTGCATCCAGCTTTTAATTGCTTTCTCCAGAACATGAGTACCATGTGCACTGCACAAAGAACCTAGTACATGCCCTCTGTGTCTGTTTTAATGGAAATGTCTTTCTTTTTGCACTTAGGGTCATTAAATTAAAGAACAGGGTAGGTCCAAGTCCTATGGAACTTGCACTGGAATTTTTTTACCCGGAGAGCTAACATAAAATAACAAAGTGAGTTGTGCTCCCTCCCACCCTGGCTACAGCAGTTGGAGGCAAATCCAACTGTGAGAATTTTGCCTGAGAAAGAACTGCCGGATTTCTCCCACTGTGAAATCCAGCTGTTAATTCAAACAGAAGGGATGGACCTGACCAGATAGGCCAACTGGCTTGTTTCCATCCTAAAGTCCATTGTGTTCCACAAGTTCCTAAATTTATGGTCATGAAGGTCTTCCAAGCCCTGTAATGAAGTATGGCATGCAATGTTTTTGTTATGGAATGTGTGTGCTGCAAAGGAAAAAGAAGGTTTGAATTTATCTTTCAAATGAAGATTCTGGAATCTCTCAGGATAAACAAGCTAAATTAGGAATCAAAATACACCATGTTTCTCACCATAACTATGAAACTGAAAATAGCACTTGCAGAGCACTGACAGAGAAGAAAACTAGAAGTTGCAGTGAGTCCAACCAAGTTTCTTTTTGTCGTGGGCGTTTCTCTGTGGGTTCATTGTCACTCTGTAGCAGGGTTTGCAGTGAACCCTGCTAGGAGAGCAACAGGAGCACCCTTTCATCTTTTGGGGGTGGTTGTTCTGCCAGAGTATTTCAGAAAAAATTTTGCACTGCAAAATTGAGCTGCTGGTCCCCATAATCAGCATTTACATTGGGCACATACTGCCTTGTGTTGCTTTGAGCAAGTTGAAGGTAAGATACAGGAGCGCTCTTTGACTTGTCAGCCCTTGTGGTGCAGCTCAGGGCAGCTCTCTTATGCTACAGCTACACAGACTAACTGTTCTCACAAAAGCTGCTCCTTCTTAGGCCTTTATTGGAGACATGATGAAGAATTAATAGGCTTGGAAGTTTGTTCAGTTTTCATGCTGATATCAGTAGTTCTAATTAAAAAAAAAAAAAAAAACAACCAAAACTTCGGCTTCCTGAAATTTGCACAGCTAAAGAACACTACTCTGTCCCACAGTCAGTAAAACCTTTTGTCAGCACTAGTACTGGCCTTACACCCCCATCTATGTGGATCCAACTGTCCCCTGAAGCTGCAGTTTCCATAGCTGCTAATGGTGAAACACTGTCATGTTTTCCTTGTCCAGGAAAAAAAATAGGAGAGAATCAACTTCCCTCTTGGGCCCAAAGGCTCCACTGACCATTAACCATCTGTCCCAGGCAAGATCTGCTCTAGCTGAAAATC